TACAGCCAAGTGTGCAGTTTGCTTAAACTTTGTATTGTTTATAATATCAATGGCACACTACTTTACATGTTTGTTTTTTAACTGGGCAGCTTTGTGTCAAACTGCCCAGTGTATTAGCAGATATTAGAGCTTAAAGAAATGCTGACATGGAAACTAACTTGGGCTGTAATATATGATTGTCTGCCCAAATTTCACAATGCGCAATGAGTAGGATCAGTGCACTGAAAAAAAAACAAAAAAACCAAAAAAACTAAACAGGAGAAGGCCATGGTCATTCATGCATGGAGAGAGGTCAGGGAGCAATAGAATGGCAGGAAAGCCCTATCTACACAACCATTTTCTTTCAGACTCTTAGCTTAAAAGTCAGTTTCTAAGACAAGATTGTTGAGGACAGGGTGGATAAAAGACAGCTGCACTAATTGAGGCACTTGATGCATTCAGATGGGAAAGAAATGGTTAAAAATTATTCAGAAAGGTATATGTCATTTACTGTGCACACTTAATGCTTTAAGAAGTCTGGTTCTGGAACAAGACTAAAACACAGAAGACATGATAATTTCAGACAGCCAGTAACATTTCCATGCCATAGCAGGTATCAGAACTCATTTAATGATGCCTGTACTACAGGCACACAAACAGGTAATATTAAAAGCACATCCCTGTAACTGGATGCAATCTCTACAGGAGAACAGAGCTACCAAAATCTCACTTCACCTGTACTAAAAAGCACCTCTTAATTTTTTTTCCTTTCCCCACAGAATGAATTTATGTTTCTTTGTTACAATGCTGAAATTTTGTACTCTTTACTACAGAGACACATATTTTGGTAAAGGGCAGAAAGAAGGTATAATGCATATTCAGAAGCTGCTTGTGCATCTCTGAAAAGCATCTCCAATCTCCTTTCTTGCAGGTCTGGAGCCTCCAGACATGGTTTTTATTATTATACCTTTCCTCGTAATTCCTTAAAAAGACTGTATATATTTAGGTTGCAATGTTTTAGGGATGAAGACAGTGTTATGACTTTGTTGATGCTTAGCACAATGAGGTGCTGATTACTCATTAATACCATATACAAACCACCATCAAAATTACAATTACATCATAATAACAAGGAAAAACACATGTAAAATATCGTCCCTGGAGGCACATACGTGAACTCTACTGACTTAACATACCATTCTATATCCAAACTGCTGACTACAATATTAATGCAATTGTAGTAGAAAATCAAATACACTTCATAGCTGTTGTCTGTGGTTTTAATAAAAAAGGAGTCACAATCAAGCAGAGAACACTTTATCTGGCAGCCCCTGGTACACAGCTGGAGATGTGAATACTGTTTTACGTGCCACTTTGGCTCCACACTGCTGGATCAGCAAACATTTACACATCAGTTGCAGCACAGCTGCCAGGCAAAGTCTAGCACAAGACTCAGATTCATCCCTTTGGATGCAGAACCAGATGCTTTCTCTCATCAGCTGCCAAATGCCTTCACTTTAACCTCAAATACACTAGCACAGTGTAGGGGCAGCACACAAGCTATGTCCACTCTTCTGAGCTGGCTACTCAGGTTAGTACTCAGAGTCATCTTGCCTCTTGCTGCTGCCAGGGGTGCCATATGAAAGTGCTTAAGCCAGTAGCATCAGCTAGAGATGGGGAAGGGACAAATGGGAGTAATTAAGAGTCCTGGCTCTTAACCTGATCTCAGCTTCTAATGATGGACATTCTGTAACAGAAAGAGAAAAGGCCCTACTGGACTTGGATGTAGTCATCGAATCAAATGTTTGTGCTAAATACAGATGCTTGGAGAGAAAGGGAGAAAAATGAAAACACAAAAATCTATGCTGGCTGGAATCAAAATACATGATCATCTTCCCCTTAATTGATGTTCCATTGCATGTATCCTCGGATAACATCAGCTACATATTTTCCTGCTTTTTAAAGAAATTACAAATTGCTTCCAACTACCCACTCAGTAAAATAGCAAAGGTATCCCATTTTTAGCAAGAACTGCCTGTGTTTGCAAGGAAATACCACTGAATTTTAGATATTTGAATCTTACTCCAGGTATCTCCAGAGCACATGAAGTCGTGAACTGTTTTGTTGTGGGGATGAGCCTCAGTGCTTTGCATCTTCAGGAAATCTTACAGCAGGGTTACATCCAGGTTAATGAACAAGCACATAGTGTGTGCAGAGATTGATAAACAAGTTGATATCCACCAGCACATTTCTAAGCATTTCTTTCACCTGTTTCCCTGCAGACCCTTTCATGTTCCTACTTTCTGGGTGAGACTCTGCACATGTAGAGATCCCATACAACAAATGCTAATGGGGGTGTGTACAAACTTATGTTTAGCAATATTATGCAACCTCAGAGCAAGATAATCAGACTGCTGTCTTAGTAAAGCACTGGTAGAGGCAGAGCAATCAGGTTTTTTACACCTGAAGTAGTTTTACCCATGTGCCTGCATGCATGCTGGCATGCACATTTGCCAGTGTGCTCCTGCACACATCCCCACCTGCACAGGCACACTTCAGCCTTTCTGTTGAGAGCCTGAGAAATAGGCTATTCCTTAGTGAAAACAGAAGCCACTATTTTTCCAATGGGTTTTAAGCGAAGCCCAGCACAGGAGGAAAGAAAGGTGAGAGCAGTTCTGCCTGTGGTGCAGGATGAGTTCTGTCGGCAGATCTGCTTGCTGCCTGGAGTTTCAAGAATTTACATGACTTTGGAAATGCTGGGGGTGGTTTATGCAACCAGAAGTAAGTCCAGCTTTATAAAAGATTTGCGATGTGTGGAGCTGGCACTGGCAGGGGCCCTGGAGAAGTGGCCTGGGGGAGGGGAGCCAGCCTGCTTCTCAGGAATACATCAAGCCCTTGAGGAAGCAGAGTGTGCCATGTTTGAAGATGCAAAGATAATCACAGTGCTGGGAACCGTCTTGTGTAGGGGAGGAAGCCAAACAACAAGAGGAAAGCAGCATATGCTCCTGATTTCGCACAGGAAGCTAGCAGCACCTCCTGCCAAAGCGAGATAAGAAAACTCCCATGGCCTATTCTGGACAAGGCTGTGGTTATCAACCTTCGCTTCACACTGTCCTCGCTCTGCTCTGTGGCCCGCTCCCTTTCCTAATGAGTTTCAGAGCCCTTGCCTCTATTAGCATACAGCATGCCAAGCACAATAGTGCGGTGTATTTATAACTATCAACAGGGATGTTTCCAGGGTAAGAGTGTACTTCATGTCATCCTGATGTATTTCACTGAAATCAAACTACAAACCAGCTCCAAGCTGAAGTCCTGCCGATGAAACTACTAGTCTCAGAAGAAAAGCTGTTCTGTGGTCACCACAGTGATTTATAGCAGAGTACAGGAGCTGAGGTAAGTAATTCATCTGATTATTCACAGGACTGGTTTGACCCTCAATATGACAGTTAGTTCTACATGAAAGCATCAAACTCAGCCTGTCCAGACACATCTTCCCCATCCCAAAGATACCACTGCAGTTTGCAGTTCAAGCAGTACAGTGACAAATACCAGCAGAAAAGCCTCAACTCCTGCATCAGTTGGAAAAACACTCATCTTCTACCTCCTGTCTTCCCAGCTCCTCCCTCCCAAACCCTCCCATGTGATGCCAGAGGCCATTGCAATCATTACCTCATGTAACATCCCATTCAATTCTCTAAGCATTCCTCTTGGCAAAGCCATTGGCAGCCTCAATCACACTCTCATTCACTGAGGTAGTCGTTGGCAATTGCACCAATACTAGAAGCAAGAGGAAGCCATCCAGTCACTAATGGTGCCCATTTTTTGGAGTGATTAATGGCAGCAACAATACTTTTCTCAGCATCTATCCTTTTTTTAGGGCAGCGATCAATTCCTAGCGTCATTAGGGCAATATTACACACATTCAAGTTGGGCTG